GGAGGGGGGTGGGGGGATGGGTTAACCTGGTGATGGGTATTAAGGAGGGCATGTTCTGCATGGAGCACTGGGTGTTATACGCAAACAATGAATCATGGAACACTACATCAAAAACTAAAGATGTAATGTATGGTAATTAACATAACATAATAATAATAATAAAAAAAGAAATTCCAAGAGTTTTAGGAGCTTTGGTATGCCAGAACCAGGGACAAAGTCCAAATATCTTTCTCTGACACTACATTCATATTTTTTAATGGTTCAAAACTGGTGATTTGGTCATCTTTTACATACACACCCAAATCCCTCCTCTTTTGAGTTATCACTATACATTTTGCATGGCACTTCAAGCCATCTTTTTTACATTTTACAGTTGTCTTGGACACAACATCTCTTCAGCAAACGTCAGTATAATGAAGGAAACGTAGAGATATTTTAGTCCAATTTCTTAATTTTACCAATATCTTCCAGGTTAAAATAAGAAAAGTAAACTGTTATTGCAGGGATAGCTTGCACTACACTATTTCAAATTTGTCACCAACTGCTTTAAGTGTACGATTTCACTTTCTGTAAGTCTCCTGCCCTGACCCTGGCCCCATTCCACAGTAAGACAGTAAGTTCCCCGAAGAGGGGGCTCTTCTTTGTTCTTTTTCAGGTCCCATAATATTTATTGTGGATCTTGGGCTTTCAATCAATGTTTACTGATGGGTACCCTGAAGAGGCCCACTAATAGAGGAAGTAAGTCAGAGATTTGAGGGATCTTTATCCTTAAGCTATAATTACTCATCAGCCTTTTTTTTTTTTCAGTACAGGCAGGGTGGAGGAGACCAGGGAAAGGGAGAAGCACACTCCCCGCTGAGCCCAGATCCTGATGCGGAGCTCGATCTTGCTACTCCAGGATCATAACCTGAGCCGAAGGCAGATGCTTAACCAACTGAGCCACCCAGGCGACCCTCATCAGCCTTTTAAAAGGGGGGTTATTGACAACTTTCCTTCTTATTCTAAAAATTATAATGTAAATGAATACACATTTACTGGATTAATATCTAAAGACAGAATGAGGTATTAGCTCTCTTAGTAATAAATGTACTTTATTAGATGTTTTCTGACAGAACTAGGTTTGGGGAAATATGGTATCATTTATGTTAAATTCCAAGTCAAAAGGCAATATTCTATGCTAGAGTGGAATTTGGTGGCATATATATAATGTGGAATTCTTGTCACTGTATATTAGAATGGCTGCTTATTCAATCTAAATTTACCATGAAATGCTCAAGAGTGGTACAGAAACAGACAAGTTGTAGGTGGCCTCACAGAGAGAACTGTGGCCACAGTCGGAGAGGAAGGGCCTGAATGATCTCCTCCTCACCATGTGAGCCCACTAGGGACCCAAAAGCAGCTGAGAGAGAGCTAGATCTAATGATGTCTTGTGGTTAAGGCTGAGATACAACTCAGGAGTCATTAAGCTGATAACCTCAGGCCCCGTGGGATTGTGGATGCTGTAGCAGAAGCTAGTGAGAAGGAATGATGACCTTAAGAACCAGATGCTTCACTCCCACTCACTCCTACTCCTGGCAACTCAGCATTATGTTTCTCCCTGGAATTTGGATAAAAAGTTGGGTGAAGAGGGAGGACCCTAAATCTATCAAAATTAAATTTCCAACACACAGTAAAAAGGATGCATAATACAATGTGAGTTATTGAAAAATACAGTTTTGTTTCTTGTACTTCTGAGTATATATGCAGAGATTTGTAAGTGCTATAGCCATCAAGGAGGGGATGGGGTTCAGAGCAGTCTTCCCGGGGGGAGCAGGTATCTGAACTGAGATGTAGAGTGGATAGGAATGGGCCAGATGGACGAGGTTATTAGCAAGAGTGATAAAGCACAAGAGGAAAGCTATGCCCAGCAGAAAGGATGAGCTCATGAAAAGCCCTGAGTACGGAGACAATTAGGGGTTCTCGCTAGAAATATTATCATTTTAGCATTTCTAGAAATTGAGCACTACGTGTGAAAGGAGTAGTGAAACAGGCTTTAGAGGGGACAGGGCAAATAGTAGGGATGAAGTTGTATGTGACTTTGTTTTACTAATGAAGACCACAGGGCGCCGGCTTCTGCTTATCTCTTTAGGCTCCTGACATTCCATACTCCTCTTGTTTCCTGTGCTTTAGCCAGATTACCTTTCAGTTCCTCAAAGATGATAAGCTTCATCTCACCCCAGGGACTTTAGACTATTCCTTTTCCTTACACTTCCCTTCCTCCTGACACATTAAATGCACTCGTACTTGTAGACTAAAATGATCACCTTGGGAAGCCATATACTTATTTATTGATATTATTCGGTGTAAACAGTTTCCAGACTTATCTTTAGAACCTACTTATGAACCCTATCAGAAAGCCCATCTTGTAGCTTGTACCCAGACTTCCTTTTTTTACCTAAGTGGTAAATATAACCCAGAGCATTATACCCTACCAGGCTTTGGTTGATGTTTGTCTGTTTCCAGAAACCAACTCTATCTCTAATGGTGGAAGAGGGATAGTTGTTAAGTTTCTTCAAAGAAATGAACCATAGGCCCTGAAGGTGACTGAAATGTGAGTCATAGAAATATTTTAAGCATGGAGCACCTGGGTCGCTCAGTTGGTTAAGCGCAACTTGGTTGAACTTGGTTGAACTCTTGGTTTCGGCTCAGGTCATGATCTCACGGCGGTTGTGGAATGGAGCCCCACATTGGGCTCTGCGCTCAGTGTGGACTCTGCTTCAGATTCTTTCTCTCTCCCCCTCTGCCCCTCCCACTCACTCTCACTCGCGTGCTCGTTCTCTCTCAAAGAAATAAATAAAATCCTAAAAAAAAGAGAAATGTTTTAAGCAAAAGCAGTATATCATTGGAGTGAGTACTCTTCTAATGTGGTTCATTTGAATGTTTGCATATGCTTATTAGAACAGAAGCCTCATTATCTTTAATGTCATGTCTGATGGACTCACTGGTGAGGTGACTTAAAAAGACCTATTTACTCGAGTATGTGGTGAGCAAAACCAAAATACTTGCTTTTGTAACACACACTCATATACCACACACACGTACACACCACCAAAATAGCTATGCTGGTGGGATTCGAGTTTAACTATAGAACCCAGTGAGTTCAGAATTAAATCACTTAGACTATCATATCTTAATCTCACTGACTACAAGACAAATGTGGTAATAATTCTTTAGCCACTCAGTCACTATAAACAAGTAAAGATAAGGGAATGTATCTACCTCTTGAGGAAATAACTCTTTTGAATTCTATGAAGGATATTTCAGTTTTAACGTATACCACTTCCTGTTAACAGAAAAAAAGAAATCAAAGTAAAATGATCCTGACAAAATTAAATAGTAGGGCGCCTGGGTGGCTCAGATGGTTAAGTGTCTGCCTTCAGCTCAGGTCATGATCCCAGAGTCCTGGGATCGAGTCCCGCATCGGGCTCCCTGCTCCTTGGGAGCCTGCTTCTCCCTCTGCCTCTCTCTCTCACTGTCTCTCATGAATAAATAAATAAAATCTAAAAAAAAAAAAGAAAATTAAATAGTAAAATTTTGTCCCTAATTGGGGCAATTAATAATTGGAGGAAATCAATATCAACAGAAGACATTTTAATGTTTTATTAGTTTTACATACGTGACAAAAACAACAGAGCAGTGGTACAGTAAATGGTTCAAAAGGAATATTCATTAAGCAACATTACTGAAATGAACTGAACATGATTTAATTCAACCAAGTTACTTTTAGTATCTAAGACATGGAACTGGTGCAGACGAGCTTGTGTTCCAGGGCTTTATCTCCTGTATGGTCACATTTCCCCTAAATCTGGCCATAGTAGTTCACACACTGTGGACTCTCAGTGAAGACTGATGGATAAGAAGCTATGGCTTAAGCTCTTAGGATAAGGCGAGATGCTTTGCCAGAAAAATACTCCAAAAGGAAAGACATTTCTCTAAGGTCATCTTATTATCAGTTGATGTCTTAAAGCCTCAAAATTAACAGTATTTTTAACTTTCTTTCTAGAAAGTATCTAAATGAACCTTTGCAATCTCATTGATTTTATAATTTTCATTGGCAGCAAACTCCATGTATTAACTAGATGCATACACGCACAAATTTATTTTTCCCCATTTAAAATCTTCTACCTATTAACTTTAGAAAATCCTTTGAACTTTTTTTATTTGGGGGAAATAATACTGTTGTTCTTTATGAGATTTAATCGGTGGTCCTTTCTTAGTGTGCTTTCACTTATCCTCTTTCCCCAGAATGCTAAGTAGCAGTGGACTTCAGTTTTCATTAAATCTCTCAAAGAACTGGTTCAAGTGAGTGGACTTGGTTCATCATCCATGAACTAGACGGTGGGGGGATCCTCTGAAGAAGGTTCATGCAGGTAACTTGATAAAATACAACAAACTTGATGTAGATTCCTTTTCTTTTCCTTCATGTCAATGGAGACTGTCTTATGGTTTAAATAAGCTATAGGGAACTTTTTCTGTTCGCAGGCATAACCAAGAGGCCAGTTTAGAGTTAGAGGTGTACAAAGAGCACTAGCATGGGGTACAAGTGATCTAGGTTTTAATTTTTGGTCAATCACCAAGTTGTTATATTGTGCAAAAATAATTCATTCAATTCCTTTGGGTGTTAGTTTCTTTATCAGTTTAACTTTGTCTTAAGTAGCTTATTTGTAACCAAAAATCATATGAAAGATATATCTTGATTATTTTTACTGCTTCTGTATTTAAGATTCCTTGAATGAAAAAATTCAGGTCAGAAATTCTCATTTAAGATACCTTTGAGTAAAAGATTTTCAAGTATTTAGCATTGTATTATGAGCACTTTTCCTTGGCACTTAATTCATAAGATTAAAAGAAAACATAGACATTTTCAATAAAAAATAAGAATACAATTTTCATCATTGTTATGATTCTTTAAAACAGGTTTAAAAATCTGATGCACTTGAATTTGAAAGGCTTTTGTGAAACTAATCAAACAACCTTCTAAGAAAAGATTTCTTGGCAGGAGTAAAAATTTTCCCAGAACCTTTTTTGTGGAGGGATTTCAGAGGAGGCTTTTTTAAGGGTAGGACTCTTTTGGGGGTTTGCAGTGCTCTTGCTATCTTCACGTGTTCATTGCAGTAATATTTGTTGCTTCCTTCTGACAGATGAATGAGCGTGTCTTCTGCCAGATCCATGCACTGAGCATGGACCCAGTGCCCGTCTCCATGAGAACAGTAGATCATGGCAGGTTTGTTGAGCTCAGTTGAATAAAATGGTACCCAAGTGTTGATATCCACATCACAAGTGGGGCAGCATGTAATCCAGTAGCCTGTCTCAGACTCATCTTCCTCATCATCTTCATTATAAGTGTCAAATTCATCATCACCATCAAAGCTATATGCTTCTGCACTGAAACAAAATTCTTCTGAGTCTTCAAAGGGAGTGGAGTCCCCTGGGTCTTCTGTTGATGTCTGACTATTTGTGAGCGTTTTCTGATCTTCATTCACATTGTCTTCAGCACATTTCAACATATAGAAATAGAAGGTGTCTGAAGTAGCCTGTTTATTGTCTCCTGGTATGCCAAGGAGTACAGTTCCATTTCCCATATTGCTCCCAAACCAGATCTTGCTGTGCTTAAGATCTGGGGTCCAATCTGGGGTCTCCATCTCACGAATTTCTATCTTATTGTCCTCAAAAGAGACGATGTTGCAGACCATTCTCTTTTGATTTTCAAGCTGATAGCCACCAACAATAACAAACTCATCATTGTTTGTTTGAGTCAGGATTGCACTGGAGACAGAGATCCCTCCTGGCAAGACTGTGCAATTCACAGCTGGGCTACCCAGTGGGAGATCAACCTTTATTCTGTATAGGTTGGCAGGGCGGGTGTTATTGGCAAGTGAATGTCCTCCTAAAATATAAATGGTATCATTTCTGGCAATAGAGACATGAAAAGATAGCCCATCCTGAAGTTCTGGAAGTATGTATGATGTAGAGCACCCAAATTCAAAATCCACCAAGAAAACATGGGGCAGACAGTCAGCTACACTATTCCATTTTTCTGTGGTTCTTTGGGAAGAAGGAATGTATGACCGTCCTCCAAAGAGAACACCTATACTTTTCCCTCGACTATACACCACATCAATGGAATGACCATATCTGGCTTCGGGAACATCTCCTACCAAGTCTTTCTCCGTGCAGCGAAAAGTAACTTTTTTGCTGTTCTTGCCAGCAATAGACATGACATAAATCTTATCTGAAAGCTCATTGTTTGGTGTTTTCCCTCCATGGATGATGTATTGATGTTTTTCAGACTCTAAGCTGCTTCTGAATATGCAAGTGGCCGGGTAACGAAGAGGAGGAAGGTAGCAGGAATCCTTAGAGAAAAGTGCGGGCTTCAGTTTGAGATGGTTATGCTTTACATCAAAATGGAAAACTCCAGTGGGGCAGGACCTCTTTGGCCAGCCTTTCTGGCCAAAGAAGAAAACTTGCCCATCAAAATTCATCAGTGAGAAGCCTGGTTGAATTAAGGCTATGTTATTACTGACTGTTATCATCTGTAGTGACATATTTTCTGATCCTGTGTAGATCTTTTATCTGAAAGAATTTAAAAAAATAACATATAACTCTTCACATAAATCACTTCACAGGTAAAAATCTTGTTAAAAAAAAAAGTTCTTCCACAAGCTTGTAGTGGAACTGAATTAGCAAAATCCAGGCAGCTAGGTTAGCGACGAGCCACAGAACTTTCCTTCCCAGTAGGATCAAGCAACTGGGACATGTTTTAGACAAGGACTATCCTCCCTTAGATTTCTGGGAATTGTAGTCCTTTTCTCCTCACAGATTCACCGCTTGTTGGCGGAAAGAACTACGTTTCCCAGGAATCCGTTCTCTATGTGTGGCTCATGTTTTTCTGGTACAGGAGAGGAGACTCCTAGGATGCCTCGCTGAATAAAGACGCTCAAAGTGCGAAGTGACTAGATGGGAGCCAAGGCGGAAAACTAGGAAATGGGAGGTGAGAGTGGCTGACGCAGACCCAACATCCGGGTTACGGGAAGGCCGCAGCACCAAGAGGGGCGTCAGGCGGCCCGCTGGGGACTCTTAAATAGGTGACCCAGTAGGAAGCACAACTGCTTCTGGACCTAGTGGGGTTGCCTGGAAACCGCAGCCTAAAGGGACGTCCCGGTCGAGAAGTCGTTGCAGACTCCTTCCGCCCGGACGCTTTGGGGGACTGGATTCAGTTGCACCTCTGCAAACCCTAGGTTGCTGGGACGGGGGGGTGGGGGGGGGGAGACAGAGGTCACAAAAGCTGTGACTATTTGACTATTTTACGGAAGCCAGAGATCGGTCTCTGAATACCTGGAGTAGAGGGAAGAAATTATCTGATAATGATTTAGTAGTGGAAACACTGTAATTAGATCTTAGAAAGTGTCACGTCAAAGGCCCCCTGTTTTCCTCGATCGCTCTTGCTCACGTTTTTAGGGTTCTTTTAGGGAGGCAGAGAAGATTCCTAAACACCTCCCTGCGTCCTCCACTCTCTTTTTCTTCTCCTGCCCCTCCCTTCTCTCTCCCTCTCTAGGAAAAATACAGTTAGTGGCTGTTTTTCAGATCTCTCTTTCCAGCCCAAGACATTTGAAATAATTCTTTAGTAACTCTGTAGTAAGCAGACGCTAAGCAAAGAGGGGCCAGAATTATTCAGGATTTAATCCTAGTATTATATATTTTTTTAAAAAAGTTATTTACTAGATGAAGTAAGCTTGATCAAATTTTATTATCATTACTTACCTTAGATTCCAGGAGCCTTAATAATGTACTCCCTGTTTGTAGAGTGAAGTCCTAGGCACCAAAGGTTAAAGGAAACAAAGTAGTACAGATTCCTGACTGTTAAGAGTAAATTGTTAATATGCTTCAAAAACAGTTTGAAACAGTGTCTCTGAATATGACTCTCAGTTCTTCAGAGTCTGGACTCTGAGGGCTGAGGGGCTGTATTCAAATCCTGTCTCTGTCACCTACTAACTCTATGAACTTGTAATTTAATATCTCACTGTCTCAATTTCCTCATCTGTAAAAATGTAATTACCTCCTTCCTTGGTCAATGTTAGTTATGATTAGTAAATTAATAAATGTAAAGCACTCAGAACAGGGCTTTGTACACTGTGATAGTTTTTATAATTATGCTCGACCTTATCAAAAGTAGGGTTGTTAGTACACAATTACCTACCAGTCACGGCAGATGATATTTATAACATTGGAGATGGTGAGATAGGATTTAGGATCTGGGATCTGATCAGTGGGTATAGATTGATTAACTTTTTAGACTAATGAGAATTGGAAAAGCATATCAATGGAGGTGGTGAGTTCATTTTAAATAACAGGAAATAATTCATTTATTCTTCTGTTTCCCTTTCTCTAAACCCTCATTAAATATGCAGACTTTGAAGTCTGAGTCCAGGTCTGGGCTCTGAAACTTAGTTGCTGTGTAACCATCTTGGGCAAGCTATTTTTATTCTGTTCTTTTCTGGAAAATGGGAATCGTTTTAGTACCTATTCATTGGGTTGCTTTGAAGGATAAATGGGTAACACATACAAGTCACAAAGCACGGTGCCTGGCATGTAATGAGCATTTAATAAATGTTAGTTGACACTATATTTTTATTCTCCCTGCAAAGATTCCCTGGACCATTTAGAATCTATGGTCAGTCTAATGAGATGTTGGGCGGGGGGGAGCGTTTTGCCTTGAAGCGCTTCTGTAGATCAGGTGTAATTAATTGCTAAATGTTCTCTTCTACTTAGTTTTAGTTTACTTGGGAGATTCCTTAAGGGGTGATATTTTAATAATCATCTTGTGGGTTATTAAACCAAGTGAGGACATAGTGAATGAGAAGCATTATTACTGAAGTTATGAAAGCAAGCCTGTCACTTCTGCAGACCATGGTGGTTTGTAGGTTCAGCAACTTGCCCTAGTTATGAAATAACATGGGTATTTTCTTTATTCATGGCCTATCGAAATATACATAAAAGAAGGCTTATGGGAACTAAGAAAATGCTCTCCATAGGAATTAAAAGGAAATACTGCTAACCCTCAATTCAATAAATGAAAACCGTAAATGATTACACTCAGCATGATATGTGATGATTGTCAGAAAGTTGTCCATTTTTGGGTGGCGGGAGCACTAAAGCCAAAGCCTGTTTGTTTTAAAAACCTCTGGAGACTGTTACTGGGATGTAGAGCAAGCCATACAGGGGTAATGGATTCCAGATCCCAAGGGGTGAACATATACCAACAACACTTGCTTTTAAACAGCAAGCTTTTTTTTTTTTTTAAGTTTTCATTGTAGCCTGTTGGCTTCATTTTAAGGTTGTCATAGGGAATTTGGCTTCTCATAAGTGAAAACATGATTACTGTAGATTAGCAGACACATATTCTTAGGCAAGGCATAAGGAATACTACCCATTTCTTGTAGCTTAGTTTGGGTCCCTAAAGATTTCTTACCTGTCCTCCCTTTGATGCCCTGCTCTTGGTACACCTCATGATTGCAGGGTCCCAAAAACAGTGGTGAGGTTTATTACTGTTGGGATGCATTAGCTCATCTTGTAATACAGTTCCAGTATTTGTGCATTTAATTTTTAGAATACCTATTTTAAACCATGACCAGATGACTTAATGTATTTAAAGAATAAACAGGAACATTGAAAATGTTTTCACAAATTTTGCCATATTTATTTAGTTTTTGAAATTTGCTTTATTAACTTAAATATGTTTTCACTGGAGTAGGCTATTGTATACTTTCCATGGTCTTAATATGCTTATATTAGTCACATCTTGATTTTTAAGAGTTTTTGAAAGGTTATACTAGAACTAAAATAATCTACTTTCTTTAAATAGGCTGGATAAAAAAGGCAAATTTTGAAAAAGAAGACACTGTTCTTCAACCGGAGGAAGTTTCAAAGTCAACACATTAAAGATTCTTTTTAAAAGATAGAAATAGAGGACCAATAAATTTATACAATTTTCCCAACCCCATGGTAACATTCCTCAGCAGGGAGGTTTTCATTTATTCACTGTGAAGCTAGGACATAGCTGAGAATCAAAAGAAGACTAATGGTGTGAGGTCTGGGTTTGTAGTTTCCTGTGTCTGAACTCTTTTCCACCCAAAGAAAGGTACTATACTCTGAGGCATTAAATCTTACTGGTCAGTGTTGTCCGTGTTTTCCTGATTGCTCCAAAATAGCAGGTAACCTCATGTAATTGCAGTCATTCCATGCATGAATTAATGCTATCTTGCACAGCTAATCAGGTTTGAGGCATACATTATTTGATTTTTTTTTTTTTTTTTTTTTGCTGGCACTGAAGCCAGGATTAGGTCTTTTTTCTGACACTTATGCCAGAGAAGCATTTATATACTAAGATTAACACATGGGCTCTGATGCCACAGGAATTAAATCCTTGCAGCAGCCTGACACAAGAAAGCCCTATAGTTTCCAAATTTTATAGCATCCCCTCCCCATCCGGACACCCAATCCATCTGTAACTAACATACTGCTAAAGGGGAGCATCACCTTTCCCTGAAAGTTGACAAACGTGGGTGCCCATCTTTTAGCTTTGGTAGAAATGAAGGTATTGGACCTACCTGAAGGCCAGAGGGGCTGCTCACCCCTCTCTGAATCTTTGCTGCTAAACCAGGTATTAAATGTCAGCACTTGGGGAGGATTCACTGACTGCCCACTCTGACCGTGGCAAGCGGAAGGCTCACAGTAAACAGAGTGTGTATATGTGCCTACAGATGTTCCAGTGAACACTGATCTAACGGGAGTAACTGACTGTGACCTTTTTTTTTTTCTTGTCTTTAGATGGTTGAGGGAGATATCCACCAGGGTATACACTCAAGATTTAACTATTTCCTTACCAATCAACAATAGAAACACAATCCACTATTTGTAAAGACCAAAAAAAAAAAAAATCTGGCTGAAACTTGATTTATATATTTATTAAAAACATTTTAGAAAAATATAGAAGAAAATGAATATAATTGCTATGACTTAAATACTACTATTAAGAATCCAATGGTAAAGTATTTTTGCTAAAGCAGAGACCACTAATACCAATGCCAGTCATTTTGATCTTGAATTGCTCTTCAATAGTCTCATTTTCTTTTTTTTTTTTTTTAAGATTTTATCTATTTATTTGATAGAGAGAGACACAGGGAGAGAGGGAACACAAGCAGGGGGAGAGGGAGAGGGAGAAGCAGGCGCTCCGCTGAGCAGGGAGCCCGATGCAGGGCTTGATCCCAGGACCCTGGGATCATGACCTGAGGTGAAGGCAGATGCTTAACGACTGAGCCACCCAGGCGCCCCATGGGTCTCATTTTCTTTAACGCAACTCTCAAAAGTCATTCTAATTATTGGAGGCCTCCTACCAACTTGATATCAGGAGCTGCGGTGTAATACCGCACAGCAGCATGATTAAGAAAATGGGCTTTGGAGTCAAACTGACCTTGTTTTCTTTGCCAGGTCTGCCATTTACCAGTGGAGTTATCTTAATCTCTAAGCCTCTGTTTCTCTCTCTCTG